ATTCCTACAGTGCGAATAAATGGGTCGTTCAATGCCTACAGAACCGTACAAAATCATGTAACGACGCAGAAACATGGCATTAGGAAATGATCAGCATCAAGCGGACCCCACCAAAATAAGAACTACCCTGCAAACATAACATCAGTGTCTCCAGGGGGAAACAGAATAGCCAAGGAGGAGGAACAGAGACTTGCCATTGTCTGACTTACGTCAAGGTTTTATAGGAAAAGATTAACGCAAGTCAATACAACCTAAGGTCAATGTTCAGAAGAAGCTCCTCTCTACGGAGAAAGTTCTGTTAAGTTTTATCTGCATTTCTTACAGTTTTGGCAAATTGGCGATTTGAACCAACTCCTAAATTTAAGGCTGGGGGAACATCAAAATTCATAGTGAGAGGATAGACAATTAAATCAGTCATGGTTGATCCTGTATGCAAGGGTAAAGCATAGACATCAGCCACTGTGGAATGAACGGAAAATCTTGGACAAGGAAGAACACTAGAATTTTTGGTGGGTGAAAAAATCAGCGCATGCTTGATTGGTTTGGTTTGTTTTGTTTTACGGTATATCAACCTCTATGGCTTATTTAATGCCGAAATCTAAATATTTTGATTGGTTTGGTCTGGTTGATTTTGTTTAGCGGCATATCAACCTCTATGGGTTATTTAATGCCGAAATCTAAATATTTTGATTAGTTTGGTCTGGTTGATTTTGTTTAGCGGCATATCAACCTCTATGGGTTATTTAATGCCGAAATCTAAATATTTTGATTAGTTTGGTCTGGTTGATTTTGTTTAGCGGCATATCAACCTCTATGGGTTATTTAATGCCGAAATCTAAATATTTTGATTAGTTTGGTCTGGTTGATTTTGTTTAGCGGCATATCAACCTCTATGGGTTGTTTAATGCCGAAATCTAAATATTTTGATTGGTTTGGTCTGGTTGATTTTGTTTAGCGGCATATCAACCTCTATGGGTTATTTAATGCCGAAATCTAAATATTTTGATTAGTTTGGTCTGGTTGATTTTGTTTAGCGGCATATCAACCTCTATGCGTTATTTAATACTGAAATCTAAATATTTCGATTGGTTTGGTTGATTTTGTTTAGCGGCATCTCTACCTCTATTGGTTATTTAATGTCAAAATTTTGAACATAGTTTTATGACTTCAACTAGATAATATTGTTGGTCATTTTGTTATAAAATTTATTGTTGCTCATCATGCTTTAAAAATGTATTGTTGATAAGTTTATTATAAATATATATCGTTGATAATTTTTATATGAAAATATTTTGCTGTAATATTTATACTTTCATAGTTTATAGGTGTTCACTATTTGCCCATAGTTATTGCCTTAACGGAGCTACCACCCCGTGCCAGGGTGGACCTGAGAACTTAGCAATTCAGAAGTGGTTCCCGATGTAGTTTATCGTCATAACCAGTACTGATATTATATGGATTAATGTCATGAAAGAATTAATTCATGTTGGTTTATTACTTGATTCTGTTTAGCGGAATATCAAACTTTATGGGTTATTTAATACCGAAATCTAAATAATTTCAACACAATTTTATGCCTTCAACTAAATATGTTTTGAACAAAATTGTATGCCTTCAACTAGAGATAAAATGCATTGTAGGGTGTTTTGTTTTCGAAAATATATTTTTACACCAAATATGTATTTGCTTACACCCATAGTGCCGTTTTTGTTTGGTGTGTTCACTATTTGTCCATACCTTGGACATTAACAGGTGATAACCCCCTGAGTCAGGTTGGAGCTTGGAACAACAAAAATTAAGTGGTCCTTTCTCACTGCTGAAAACCTCCCATCTCCCGATCAGAAGTCTTGCTCCCAAATGTAGTTTATTTTCATTCTCTGGCGATCGGTTTGGTTTGGTTTGTTTTACGGCATATCAACCTCATTGGATTATTTAATGCCGAAAAGATTTTATTGCTGGTAATATTTCTTTTTTTTTTTTTCAAAAATGTATTGCTGGTAATTTTTTTGGTTTCAAATGTATAGCTGGTAATATTTTTTTCCTAAAAATGTATTGCTGGTAATTTTTTTTTTTTCCAAAAAGGTATTGCTGCTAATATTTTTTCCCCAAAATGTATTGTTGGTAATATTTTTATTCCCCAAAATGCATAGCTGGTAATATTTTTTTTTTCCAAAAATGCATTGCTGGTAATATTTTTTTTCTAAATATGTATTGCTGGAAATATTTTTTTTCCAAAAATGTATTGCTGGTAATATTTTTTTTCTAAATATGTATTGCTGGAAATATTTTTTTCCAAAAATGTATTGCTGGTAATATTTTTATTTCTTGGAATGCATAGCTGGTAATATTTTTTGTCAAAAATGTATAGCTGGTAATTTTCTTTTCAAAAAATGCATAGCTGGTAATATTTTTTTTTTTAAATATATTGAAGGTAATATATTGTTAGTAATAAATTTTCACAAAAAATGAATTGGAGGTAATAACTTTTTGCCAAAATATTTCTGGTACTAGAACCTATTTTTACAATTTCATAGTGTTTTGGCCGCAGTTTGGCAGTTGAATATTTATCCATAGCTGGGACCTTAACAGTTGCTACAACCCCGAGTCAAGTGAACCTGGGATCACCAGGAATTAAGTGGTGGTTCCACGTTCCTCAAAACCTCCTGATCAGAGGTTTTGCTGTAGGAGGTAGTCTGTCCTCTTACCCAGGATGTTGATGTAGTTTATCGTCATACCCAGGACGCGGATGCAATTTATCGTCATACCCAGGACGCGGATGCAGTTTATCGTCTTACCCAGGACGTTGATGTAGTTTATCGTCTTACCCAGGACGCGGATTCAGTTTATCGTCATACCCAGGCCGTTGATGTAGTTTATCGTCTTACCCAGGGCGGGCGCATGCTCAACTATGAGGTTATCTTTAGTAGGCCTAGGATTGAAAAACAAAGCTTAAATGGAAGCCGCTAACAATTAAAGAAAATCAAATGGCGGTAAGTCTTCAATAGCTGTAACAGTTGAACCAAAAGTTTCAGTGAATGCTGTGAAGTATGACAAATAGCAAAATTCTGCACATAATTGTTCTACGGGACTATCGTCTAATGGATTCAAGTTTAGACCTTGAATTGTGCGACATTACTATTGGAAGCCCAATCGGTGAACCACGCAGTATGTACTCAGAGTTTCCTAAACGAGGCAGTAATAAAATAAGAAAAAGACACCCTGAACAGAACTAACTTAAAAACAAGATGTCATATTCGTAGATATCCCACGTAGATAAAACAAAGTATTTAGTTAGAAATAGCCTGTAGGTTACTCAGTTAGATATACATCTAGGGAAGTTCGGAGAAACGCAACGGTCGAAATGTTGTGATAACAAACATGAGGACGATAGTACGCATGTAAGTAATTTAATTATCAATGTCCATTAGTTAAATTGCATCATTTCATTGTGAAACGGAAATACGGGCATTTAACATGTGTTGGAAGCTTATAATCTATCATTTCCAAAAATGGAGTCAAACTATTGACTTCAAATTCTGTTCTAGTTCGTTATATTCAATTTTTAGTATCATTTGAGTAGGCATTAATTAATCTCTTCCTCCCTCAGCTATGGGTTAAATAATAGACTAGTCTATCTTGGAGAAGGAATATCCTGTATTCAAAAATATGGTGAAGCCAACAGAAAATAATTCCTCTATCTTGCCCCAAACCACGGTATTTCATTGAAAATTAATTAAAGGAAGTTGTGGGTAGTCATGAACACTTATGTATCGAGGGATATGGCATTAATAAACAGTTTTCAATATTAATTATAATAATGCTCTACCTTAGTTCAATAATTGTTATTGCATTTAATGTTTATACAAATGTAACATTTATTATGGAATAGAGACCTAGCCAACCACGTAAATACAAGTAGGTCTTTCCACGCGTTAGTCCAGTTCATAAGCACATCAACATATAGCCTACGGCCACATCATGTTGAAACACCGGTTCACCGAAGTTAAGCAACAACGAACCTAGTCGGTACCTATACGGGCGACCGGTGGGGTATTCCAGGTGCTGTAAGCTTGGAGGAGATCATATAGGAGTGGTCTATACAAACTGTGGACGACGTAACCAATGAAACGAACCCGTGTATCGTCGGTAAAAATGTCACCTCCAACCCAATGTTTTAACTTAAAAACTCAGTCAAACCATCTTCAATAGCGCTGGTGCGTTCAGTACTTCTACCGCCATTATTTTGTATGGGACGGGTTTTAATTTTTGTCTGATGGCATTATAAGGAGCCCCGACCAAGACCAATATATTGCAGTTTCGCTATATTTCGTATCGATTTTCTTTAACTCCTCTGCATCCTGTCAAAAATTATCCAACATTTTCTCCTTCGATTAGCTTTGCTGGCCTTCCACAACGTTTGACATCGTCTACTGATCCTGTTATTTATAAACAATATACTGTTACTTTACCCAATACAACAGACAACGACCGTTCAAGGTAGTGGGTTATTAATGGAGGAAAAAGACGAGATTAAAAAGTGCACATTATGAGTTGTAGGATAGATATCGGAATAGATATTGAAGGGACCAAGATTTTCGTTGTCAGTTTGTTCCAAAAAATAACAGTTCTGTGGAAGAAGCTGGCCGAATGAAACTTGATTCTTATCAAAGAGACACGAAGTAAATGGGAATGGTTTGCCATTATAAATATGGTATGTAGGATTTCTCTGTTATCACCAAGATTCGATTATGCCGCGTCTTTCTTTCTTTCTTTTTTTCTTCCATTCTTTCTTTCTTTCTTTCTTTATTGATTGATTGATTGATTTCCGTCTACTTTTTTAATGTACAGGCATTTGTCCCTTTTGACTTTGTTACCCATTTTCGATCTGTCATTGTTTTCAAGGTTATTACGATCTAAAATTTCATTCCGTATTTCTTTTCTTAGATCTCATGTTTCATCATGATTGTTACACGGTATGAATGTTTTGAAACTGTAAGATTATGGCGTTTCTTTCTTTCATTTTATTTCCTTTCTTTCTATCTTTTATTCTATTTTCTTTCTTTTTTCTTTCTTTCTTCCCTTCTTTTCCGTTCTTTCTTCCATTTTTTCTTTCTAACTTTATTTTGTCTGCTTTATTTTGTTTCAGTTTCGTTTTTTCCTTATTTTTCTTTCTTTCTTTTATCTTCCTTTCTTTCTTCTTTCTTTCTTTCCTTTTTTTCTTTTTCTTTCTGTTTTTCTTTCTGTTTCTTCTTTCTTATATCGATATTTTTCTTTCTTTCTGCTTCTCTTTCTTTTTATTTCTTTCTTTTTCTTGCTTTCTTTCTTTTTTCTCACTTTCTCTTTTATTCTTTCTTTCTTTGTTCTTTCTGTCTTCTTACTCTTTTTTTGTTTCGGACTTTCATTTTTCTTTTTCCTTTTTCTTTCTTTTCTTCATTTCGTTCTTTCTTTTTACTTTCTTTCTTTTTTCTTTCTTTCATTTTTCTTTCTGATCTTTTACCCTTTTCTTTCTTTTTACTATGTTTTTCTTTCTTTGTTTCTTTCTTTTTTTCTGTCTTTCTTTTTCTCGCTTCGTTTTCAATATATCACAGACCTTGCAAAAACCTAAGGAGTTGAAATGGGAAACCCCCAATTTGGTCCGGTCTCTATCGAATTCATTACAAAAGACATTGACTCTGCACACTCAGTTAGACACTACATCGCAACATTCTTTGAAAAAAAAAGGTTAACCAAAAACATGTCGCCAACAAGCTTGTAAAACGACGAGAGACAGTTTACAAAAGACAATGGAGACGATGTTCTTGACTAATAAATGTTATTTGTTGTGAGTATAGATTATTTTGCTGGAGAAGTTCGTTCACGTTACCGTGGCAGATACTTTGTCACGTCAGTATCCATCTTACACATTTATGAATCTACCAATCGTCCCTGCATTGAATATTGCTTCCATATCTGGCCTGCTGCTCTATATATCTTGGGACAATATTTTGACAAAATTCAAAGACGTGTCTTTAATATAATCGTTCCTGACCTGTCATCTTGACTTCACTCATTATCTCATCGACATGACACGTCTTTCTTCTGTCATTTCTACAAATATTTTCATGGTAATCAAACATGAGCTCCTTGATGCTTCGAGTGCATGAATTTAAGCGTGCTATAAGATTTTTATAAGCATTTCACGCCAAGCAAGGCGGAAGTGCACAATGTTTTAAAGAGAGTGAAAGTTAGAAAAAAGTCTGGGTATAGGGGGGGTATTGGGGAAACGATAAAAGATAGACGGGGTTAAAGTCAACACAAGATGGCGGTTGACGCTGCATCTAAATTTTTGAAGACTGCGTTTATCACGGAAGCAATTAAGAGGAAAGGAGTTCCACAGGCGTGGCGTAAAGTGCGAGAAAAATGTTGGAATAGAAATGGCGGTTACATTTAACTATTTCAAGAGTAAATGGATGAGCCCTAACAGCCAATCAAGTAGCACGCGTAAATGGGAAAAAAGCTCGTTAGATCAGTTACGATTAAAATATTTGTAGAAAAGAACATACAGATATTATTCTAACCGTTTTATAAAATTTTCAAGTTTATTATACACTTCCTTTTTTTACTCAACTCTGTGATTGTTAAATTGTCAGATTGAATATATTAATTTTGCCATCGTTTTGATTCAGAAAGGAAAGATCTGTCATTTGGCACGATTATAGATATTACTCTCACGATATAGTTTATTTTTCTTTATCCCATATTGTTGATAGCGAGAGACGTAACATATTTTACTGAGAAATGACACGATTATGTTATGCGCGCCAAGATTTGTCCTTCTATCTTTATTGGGTGGGCAGCCATCTTGAAAAATCTCTTGAAATTCGCTCCGAAATCTCACAAATGCACAGAGATTTCTCATCGAAACAAAGAAGTCACTGGAATCAGCAAATCCTCATCGCCTTTCCGCAAAAAGCTCGTGATTTAATAATCCTAAATGCGTCAGAAGTGTATTGAGAGTCCACATCTCAACCAAGCGCTTTACCGAAGACATAGCAATTTGCAATCCATTTGATAAGTCCTGAGGTAAAAGTTAAAAAAAAAAAAAATTAGGATATGATTTATAGAAATATCCTATATTCGTAATTGGATTTGTTATTTGAAGAAGGAAAAACCGAATACGAAAAGAGATAACGTACGAATTATGATTCCTGTGTTTTAAATACGGCCGTTGACATGTAATTGAAAGAACAACGGAAACAAAGCGAGAATTTAGGAGTGCGAATATTTTAACATTTTTCAAGATTTCACAAACATATTTTTTTGAAAATGGATGACCGGTTTTTTACGCTGTTTTGATCTCCTTCAAAATAATCGAATTTTTGTTTTCAATTTTAGTTTTTCTATATTAGTTATTTAATAAAAAAATTCAATGTTTAAATATATATATATTTTTTTTTAGCGGCTTATAAAGATTTTCCAGGTTATTTAAATCCAGTAAATATTTTTAGATTGTAAAAATTTTTTTTTAGTTAATTAATGATTTATTAATACAAGTATTACACATTCACCCATAACTGATAAAAAAAGGTGAATTTTATATCTTTCCCAATGATATCTGCGTGTAAGTGAATATAACGAACCCAACATAAATTGGAACTCGGCTCGCCGATTAAAAATACCGACAAGTTATCCATTACACCGCCCGCACATCCAAGCTTACAGTACCTAGGATTCTCAAGCGGTCACCCATCTATGTAGTAACCAGGGTTGACGTTACTTAACTTCGGTACGGGTTTCAATGTCATGTGGTCGTAATCCTGGAAATTTGTAATTTCTCTCTGTTGATTATTTCCTTATCTTTGTTGCTGTTATCAATGTTTCGACCGTTGCTGCCTTCATCAGATATATGTCAATCTAAAGGAATCTTCAAACACAACCATTTATTCAGACCACGATGGGAGAGAGCCCTGGTTCCCTTGCCCATATCTAGGGTTATCCCGAGCAGTACGTATTTTAGTATCTCTCCGTTATTTCTTCCGTCCCCATTTCTACTGTCGCCAGAAATGGCGAATAAATGCATAGAAAAAATTGAGGTAAATGGCTGAGATGCATCTTATATATAAAGTATAGTGTGTGTGTGTGTGTGTGTGTGTGTCCAACCAACTTCTCCGCTCCCACAGATCGGATTTCAATGATTCATAGTTCATTCAAAAGCCCAAAAACTTTAGGCGCAGGGAACGATTTTCGTTGAACTCAGGGTTGCCAGATTATGCGAGGATAAAAATATTTATTAATATATTATAGTAGACATTATCGTTGCTTTCATGGTTCAACGGAAGTAACTCTTATTTTCCTTTTGTATCAAAAATTGCAGTGCTTTTATTATAAACTAGCTTGTTATAAGCTTATTATAGTTTTATTATAAACTAGCTTATTATAGTTTTATTATATTATTATTATCTTATTATAGTTTTATTATAAACTAGCTTAAAAGCCGCCCTATAGGGCGGCATTTAAGCCCCCGTGGAGGACTCTTAGTTTGGCCATCATCACAATAGTTAGGGAGAAATAGATGTGATAGGCATCAATAAACTACAGAAGAACACAAAACTGATCGCTGTATTTAAGTATTGAACTAATATTTAAGCTAACCTTTTAAAAGTTCAACAATAATTCTTCTGCTGCCACTTAATTTAAAGACGATTTGATGTACGTAGATTCTTATTTTCCGTACAAACAATTTATTGCATGGTGACAGAACAGGAAACAATTTGTAAAATTAATATAGTGTAAAAATGGGAAAACAATTTTAGTTATACGTTCTACATTGAAGAGATGGAGAAACATAATGGCTAATTAATTAAAACCTATATTATGTTTTCTTAGAGCTCAGATTCAGGGTTGCCAGATCATGCGAGGTTAAATATATATACAAGGTAACCAAAAAAGTTCTGTCCGTTTTTGGATTAGTCATTGAATGAAGTTAAAATATATACGAAATGCGTCTAGCAATTGTTTTCAAATTCGGACAGCCGGAAGTAGGAACATCAGACGTTATAATAAACATGCGCACCGTGCCCGGCCATCAGTTATAAGCCGGACAGCTGTGAAAAGGGTGGAAGTGTCTAGAGATCTCGTTCGGGGCTGTTTGCTTTACAACTTCAAAGTGGGCTTAGCAGCAGCTGCATCAAATCGCCGCATATGTCAAGCGTTTGGGGATAGTGCCTGTGGATGAATGTACTGCAAGGCGTTGGTTTCGAAAATTCAAGTCAGGAGATTTGTCTCTCCATGATGAGCCTCACAATGGACGACCACAGGTCTTGAACGACGGAGTCCTGAAGGCGGCCATTGAAGAGGACAGTAGTCTAACGTGTGGTGAACTGGCAAGACAGTTCAACGTTTCCCATAAAACAGTTAGACTTCACCTGCACAGCCTAGGTAAGACGTACAAACTGAGCAAGTGGGTTCCGCAAACGCTGTTTGAGGTACACAAGGGACAACGAGTGGCAGCCTGCGTATCGCCGCTTTCTCGCCACCGTACCGCATTCTTCTTCAATCGAGTGCTTACCAGTGATGAAAAGAGGGTTCTGTACGAAACTCCCAAGCGTTCCAGACATTGATTGTCTCCTCAGGATGCTGTCCCTCACACCGCAAGAACGCCTATGCACCCACGCAAGATTATGCTTTGTGCCTGGTGGACAGGTCGTCAAGTGGTTCATTATGAACTGCTACCAACGGGCAAAACGGTCACTGGAGACTTGCAGCAATTGAAACGTGTGCAACAGACATTGCGCCAGAAGGAGCCAGCACTGGTGAATCGCAAGGTGTGCTTTTCTTCCATGACAACGCCAGGCTGCATGTCGCGCGAGTGGTCAGGGATAACATACAGCAACATGGGTGGGAGACTTTGTGCCATCCACCTTATTCACCTGACCTTGCGCCATCCGATTACCACCTCTTCCACTCCCTGGATAATCATCTTCATGGAAAATCCTTCACCACTGGAGCAGACTTGCGCAAAGCTCTCACGGAACCCCGAGTTCTACCGCAAGGAACAGCTGGAGACACGTTGGCAGAAGGTGCTGGATGCCGATGGCGATTACCTTGAAGACTAAATATAAGTCAGACATATTGTGAAGCGTTTTCCTTTTTTTTTTCCTTTAAAAACGGACAGAACTTTTTGGTTACCTTGTATTAATATATTATATTCCATAATAAGCTAGGTGAGTTAGTTGTTAATACATTCATACTCTTACCTCACCAGAAACCAATAATTTTATCCACTAGGCTATGGTCCCTAATGAAATCACTTTTAGGCTGGATTCTTCCTTCTCACGTCAAGTTGAGTGGGTAGTCCGTATTAATAGGCATATACAATTGACTAATTACGACTTTTAATGTATCTAAATATATAAAATCATTTATTCAGTGAAATCTTACTTTTTCTTCCATCAATAACTTAATTCTCGGCTCCTTGTAGAAGCTCTTATTATTTTCGGGTCTATTTTCA